GTGCTCGCACTTGCTGCACCACCCAATGGTCATACTCTTTCTAGGCTCTGTGGGCTCCTTGATGGTCTTGTTTCGACTGGTCTCGCAATTTCGGATGCGGGTCCACCTCACCCACACCTAGTGGACTCACTCATGACGGCAATCCTCCTCGCGCTTGGCTCGCTCTGCGGAGCAGCGCGACCGTATGGTCGCGCAGCGCACCCATCAGAGAAGCTTTGCAAACGTGATGTCGTGCAAAGTCTAGGCTGTGGTCTGGCAATCGCAGCGGGCCTCTCGCACGAATCTAGAGAAGTTCAGCCCGGTGAAAAGCGGCGTGCAGCGGCACGCCTTCTTGCATCGCTTTTACGCAGCGACTGCGAACAGCCAAATGACAGCATCAGCACCACGGCCGAGCCTCACCATGCTATTGCAGAGGCTCTTGCGCAATCAGGTCTTGTTGGGGTAGCAGCTGCATGTCTGACTGACGATGATGCCATAATTCGTGCGGATGCGGTCGATGCATTTACCGTACTCTCTACATACGCCCTGCGCGAGGATCGCGATGTCGCCCTGGGTGCAGCTGCACTTGGCGATAATCTCTCGCGTGGCATCGTTGCTTCTGATGCGGCAGCGAAGCATTCCAGTAGCGGATGTACGCCAGAGTTGGTGCCACTTAGAGCTACGATAGCCGTAGAAAAGGCATTGCAGGCACTTGGAGCTGCGTGTTGCCGTGGGGGTGTCGCAGCACGCGATGCCGTCGCTTTTTCCACAGGATGCGCTGGTGCCTTCATTTCTCTAACGCGCGCCCCGCTTTCTGCACCGTCTGATTTCGGCGTGCGTTGTGCAGCCATCTGTCTCACTGCGATTGCAGCTCTTGCAAAAGATGCCGAGGGTCGAGCAAGTGCCCTTGCTGATGCAGGTGCTTGTGACGCTGTTGCTCTAGCGCTCGTCGCTGCAATGCGTGACAAAGATGGCAGTATTGCAAGTCTGCAAACTGCCGCTCTTAGTGCAATGTCAGCATTCTCGAGCTTTCACAGCCCACGCCAAGCATTCACCACTACTGAAACACCGGTTCTCGCCGCGCTATTTCTCTGTATCGTTCAAGTTGATGATGCGCCTAGCTTTGAGTGTGGACACTTGGCTCTTTCGACGCTCGTGCACTTTGCACATCCTACTGTTACTGTTAGCGAGCCACAGACCGCTAGCAAGCTGGCCACAGCAGCAAAACAATGCAAGATTGTTGCAGCTCTGACCCACGTGTTGAATGGTGCCTGGCGTCCATTTTGCGTAGATACGGCACAGCATGATCTCGTGATGCGGTATGCTCACGAGTTGATCACTGCCCTAGCAAATGCGCCAGCAACAATGGAGGGTCCAACAGATATTGATACCCTTGATGGCGACACTTGCCCTTTGGATGTTTTGGTTAACGATCGTACGGCTGCGGTGTCCTCTGTTTATGCTTCTGAGTCTACTCGCCTACCAGACGAAGCCATCAGCGCCGCANAAAAGAAATTTCCGTCTTCCGCCGAACTAGTTGCTAGTGATGAAAAGCAGCATTTTGAACAGAGATATGGTGCGTGGCTTCTTCGTCGTGGAACGACCAACGACTCCAAACTCAGACACAAGACCACCGCGCTTGCTGGTGCAGATATGGCTGCGCTCGTGTCACTCATCACGGCACCCGAGCCTTTGGATGATGCTGAACGTATCACAGCGCACCTGTCAGCGGTAGATTGTGCATGTACAGCTCTTGAGGACATCATAGTTGAGGATGCAGCGGGCACCACTGCGGCG